TAGCTCTCTAAATTAGGGTCCCATTTTAGGCCCCCAATATAAGTACGGCACCCTTGTAGTAAAGGACCCTAAAAAGGGATCCTAACTTAGAGAACTACCCGAATGCTCTTCTGAAAGAGTTCGCTTTGGGGATTCTCGGGCAGTTTAGGGTTTATGCGGCCTTGGAAGAGGCTTGTGAGGAACAGCATCGTACTAAACCCTAAGCTCCAAGCCTTAAGCCCTAAACCCTGAACCCGAAACCCTAAACCCCTAAACGCTAAACCCCTCAACCCCGACACCCTATGCACCCCGACGGTATCCTTACTATAAGGCTTTAAAATAAATCCATATGGGTTCCTTCTTCTCGGGGGTATATAGGGGTCCTTTAAGGGTATAAATATAAGGATTAAGCCCTAAACCCTAAATCCTCCCCTAACCCCTAAACCCTAAACCCCTAAACCCCGAAACACATAAACCCGAAACCCTAAACCTCTAAACTCTCTTAGAAAGACCGACGAAGAAGGACCTCGCCAGCTTCGCGGCCGGCCTGCCTTCGGTGAAGACGCTTGGAATCGGGAGGGTGGTCGACAGGTTTAGGGCTTAGGACCGTTTAGGGGTTTAGGGGTTTAGGATTTCTTGGGGGGTTTAGGGGCTTTAGGGGTGTAGGATTTCTTTGGGGGTTTGGGGTTTTGGGGTTTGGGGGTTTGGGGGCTTAGGGGCTTCGGGTTTTAGGGGGTTTAGGGGTTAGGGTCTCCAAGTTTCCTCGTAGTCTTTTTTAGGATATCGTTTAGGGGCTTGAGGTTCAGGGTTTTTTAAGTTTTTGTTTTGTGGTGTTACATCCCTATGAAAATTCTAGGTTTAGGGTTAAGAGGCTCCAAAACCGTTCATTTGTCGAAGAAATATGCCTAAGACGTATTGGGGGTTCCCATCATATACTCAGGTATATTCCTTAACTCCCTGGGTCTACACTCTTGACCCAGGAAGCCCGAAGCCCGGGTGTGATAAGTCGTAACGGAGTCCTCCCAGAGTACAGCGACAAGGTTTCTCTCTCGCGAACCCCAAGCACCCAACTTTCCGAAAGCCGGCGCCCATGACCCAAAACAAACCCTGAACCCTAAACCCTACACCCTAAACCCTGACACATATTCACATAAACCCGAAGGCTCAGAAGGTTGGTGTGATTTTGCACAACAACTTCCCAGGCAGGCCAGCGACGACAAGGAATCCGCGAAGACACCCTCCGAGGAGCCTGTGCGCGAGAGTGCCTTTGCCTTTTCGCTTTTGTGTTTTTGGGTTTGATGGCCTTTTTAAAGTAAGGCCTCATCGGGCACCATAAGGGCCTCACAGGGTCTGTAGATTCTCTTTAGATCTTGGGCCGCAGGGTTCAGTTGTAGTTGTGCTTTCCTCTTCCACTCTCCTTGTGCTTTCATCAACACCTCATCAGCGAGCAAACCGCCCTTCGTTTGAAGCTAAGAAGCTGAAGTAGCTACCAAAGGACTTCCGAGTAAAAACGCACGGCTAGTTCCCTGAGTGAAAGCAATGCACAGCCGACCGCTCCTGTATATGTAGATGCAGATGAATGTCTGTGTCTACACATCTACAGACGGAGCTGTTACAGTAGTCTTTACATATACAAGTACATCCTAAAGCAAGTGTTCACCCATGAGGTGTGATTGTGGACTGAGCTTTTCTTCAAAGCGGCGACCTCGACCAAAAATTTGCGTGGCGCTGCGGATTCAAAACTGTGCTGCTGCAAGTGTGGAGCTTTGGATTTAGGCTGAGGGCGAGAGTCACAGCGGCCATGATGTCTAGCTGGTTATGGTAATCTAAGCCCCCAGCCTTTGGAAGCCTTATGTGCAACCAAACCAGCAACGAGGCTGCACCTGAGCCTGAGCAGGTAATCGTGTGGCTGCGCACCTGAAGGACTTTGGGATATCAGGCTTCTGATGCCAGTGTCGTTTCAATCAAATCCCTAAACAAAATCTATAAGCCCAAAGCTTTAGACGTTAAACCTTAAGCCCCTTACCCTAAACACTAGCTTTTCTAGAGTGTGCAGCTTAGGTGGTCCTGTTTAGCTTGCACTCAGGGAGCCCTCATCCAAGCTAGGACCATTGTTCCTGCGGCCGCCGTAGCTACTTCGATACCACTGCTCATAACCCTAAACCCTAAACCCTAAACCCTAAACCCTAACCCCTAAACCCCTAAACCCCTAAACCCTAAACACCTATGAACCATTCCGGGCTCCAAGCCTTATTTCCGATATACTCGGATACCCTAAACCCTCAACCCAAAACCCAATCCTAAACCCTAAACCCCATCCATCTCGGCAAACCTGCCCATCGGATGCCACTCTTTGACATTCTGCGCAGCGGCAAGGTCACACAGTCTGGTTCTGGGATGGTCTGGGCGTGGGCTTTACGATTGCATCGGGCAGACCCCTGCCCTACACCTTAAGCTCTCACCAGCGGCTCCGCTCAGGACTGGCGTGGCGGCGTTCGCCGCGCAGCCGTGGAGGCAATTGCACGGCTTTTTGCAGGCCTGGCACAGCTTCAGTGCTCAGGGGTTTAGGGTTTAGGGAGTTTAGGGTTTAGGGGAGCCCGATACTGTACTAAATGCCCTAGGGTTTGTGGCTATGGGGGTTGAGGCATCCGGGTTTCCTGAACCCAAACTACCGGCTTTTCCGCATTTGATCTGCGGATTCCGGCGCCTATGATTCATCTCTTTTTTGCTAGCTTCAGTCGTTTTACCTTCAGTCGTGTGACGTGGGCAATTCTCTAAACTAGGGCTTGGGTTTCGTCCGGGTTTAGGGTTGCGGGTTTAGGAACCACTTGGGAAGTTCTCTAAATTAGGGATCTTTTTGTAACGCAGGTCCCCACAATAGTACGACACCCTTATGAACGGTAATAACAATAATAATGAATACAACAAAAAAAGAATAGTATTTGTAATAATAGCAAGAACAGATATTTCTGATAGTGGCCAGTAATGATACAAGCGGTGTTTTCAGGGTTTGGCCTTTCGGGCTCCGAGGGCCTGGGTTCTAGCGCCGCAAGCCCGGACACCGACAGGCCAAAACCCCCTTGATCAAGGAATACACCTTGAACTATAGTCGAACCCTAACGGCCTTGGTTGTTATGGTTTAAAGTCAACTCCTTAGCTAAAATTTAAAGCCTGCTCTGAACTCCTTGAGCGGGAAGGGTTCGTGGACTGGGACTAGTATTCTGTAAGGGTTTGGCTTTTCCTTGTTTGCTTAACTTGCATTCCTTTTTAGACTTGCAAGTAACAACAGCAACAGCAGCAACTTTAGGATTTGGGGGTTTAGGGTTTAGGGTTTAGGGTGCATCATTGCGGCATCATCATCAACATCAGCAACAACAGCGACTACAATTGCCAAGCCCGAAGCCCGGGCCCGAAACGGCCAAGGCGACAGGTAGCAATAGTAATAGTAATGATAGGAATACCAATAATGAGAACACTAGTGATCTAAATAACAATAATATGAATAATATGAATAATGATAGTAATAATAGATATTATTCATAGTGGCCCGTAATGATACACCCTGAGCCCTAGACCTCAGACCCCAGACCTCAAACCCAAGAGACCCAGAGACTCCCAAACCCCTTAATTAAGGAATATACCTTAAATTATAATAGAATCCCTAATATGATTTAAGGTATATTCCTTAATTAAGGGGTTTTGGAGTCTCCGGGGACATGGAAGACAGGCGGTTCTGCGCCAGACTCTGTGCTGCGACAACTTGCCGAGCTTCATCTAAACTGAGGTTAGGGCTTAGGGTTGAGGGTTTAGGGCTTTGGGTTGAGGGTTTAGGGTTTAGGGCTTAGGGTTGAGGGTTGTGAGTCCCGAGGTTGCATGTACGTCCCTGGGTCAACAGGATATAGGGGTGGAAGTTCTGGCTTGACTTGAGTCCAGTTGCACAAAAGGGTTGAGGGTTAAGGGTTTAGGGTCAGCATTCAAAAGCCTGTTGCAAAAAAGGGTCAGCATTCAGCAAGTCCGGGTTCAAAAAGGGTTGAGGGTCATCTAAACTGAGGTAGCAGGGCTTCCGTCTTGAGCCGCGCAGCACTTGGCTTAGGTTATGTCCTTTTGAAGAAGTTTTTGGACAGTTGACAGGTTTGGGGAGTGCGTGCTTGATCTCGGTTGGTACAGCTCGGGGTTTTGAGTCGGATCAAGGTGAGCAGCTTCCATATCGTTTTGATTTCATTGCCGACATCAGCATCAGGACACTGTCTTCATCCGTTCTATCATGTCCTGCATCTTCGTGACAGAGTCTGATCGACCCGAAACCCTCATCCTAAAGAACACAAGGATGGCACTAGCGGCCGTGATTGCTAGCCTCGTAGAACTTATAGCATCCCAGAAGCCCTACACCCAGCCCTCTCCAAAAAAAAGCCTGAGGACCATGTGGATGACCATGATATTGAAGTGCGGGAGGCCTGTTGTGAAAGATATGGTGGCAGGTTTGATGTCCCTCATATGGTACTCTCTATATGTGCACGTGATTTCAACTTTCCACTTTCCAGACGAAGTTGTAGGTGCCGATCCCGACAGTGTCCGTGTCGATGTTTTGGGCACTCGCCTTGCTTCTTGCAGCGCAAAGGTCTGTGCTGACCACGACTTACATGCATGCCTCTCCAGCTAAAACCCAGAGGGCAGCGGCCTAAGCACAAGTCTGGGAGCCCCCAAAACCCTTGAAAAACTCGGATGTGGATTGGGCGTCGACGGGTGCTTGGGACGAGCCGTTGGACATTGTCGGAAGATCTCTGGGCCCGGCGGTTTGTTTCAGTAAGGCGGAGTTGAGCGCCCGTGTTTCACGCCGCCCGTTCCTGCAAGTGATATTTGTGGTGCTGTCGCTAGAGACTTTAGACCAGAAATCTTCATGACCCCCCGAAAGCCCAAACACTGAAACCCTAAACCCTTAAATCTTTAAGCCAGGTACTTGTATTCAGGGAGTTGTGATTTCAGGAATATCCCCTACATAAGTGGTATTGGACTCCCTGGAGTCTCAGTCAGCAGCTCTTCTTAAAGCCTACTTGCGGCACTGCTTGCGTGAAGTGTGCGCCTCCTCGCCCCCAGAACCTGAACCAACCCCTGTCTCCCTCTCTTTCTCTTTCTCTCTC